CTATAGTGTACACAAGGATGCTTTGCGGAATAATTTCCCGAACGAAATGTCTACCAGTCAATATATTCTACGTGAAACGTAAGTCTCTTGAGCTTCTTCTCAAAGAATTGAAAACCGCGCGAATCACGTGTTAATTCACATATATTTCACTCCCTGGCTTTATGCACGCAACCAATTTGCTTCTAATAACATGTCTGTATAACACAGTAGCATCTTACCCTGAAGGGAGAAGGCAATATAATTTCTATTTTTCAAAATTTTCCTCTTTGTTTAGGGCAGATAGCGAAGGACTGTGTTGCATCTGTATGGAAAATAGTAACGAGGTATGTTTTGCTGAGATTTATACTGTGTGTTCCTACGCATTGTGCTGTATGGCTAAACAGGTCCATCCTTTTTGTTTCATCAAAGGCTACTCAATCTGTCGCACCCTTAACTCTTATAGACATTGTTATATCATATGCCATTGATTGCACAAAAGAGCAGCCAAGCGAAGGTGTAGCAGGGACATTTATTAAATTATTGCGAAAGTATAGCAACCATTTTAAACTCCCTTCCCTCCTCTTTCTTGTACGTCTTTATATTCCATCATTTAAAGGTATTACTTCCGTGTCTTCACTCATTTTGCATGGTCTGCATTGCCCAGGAGATGGAGTTTCGCCCTCAGTTCAGCTGCCCAGTTTGCAAAGCTCGTATAGAGCATCCATTAGAAGAATCTTGGGAAGTGCCTGATGCTCCAAATCCCGAAGAGGTTGTTGCCTATCTCAGTAAAGTAGGTGGAAAATGAACTTTTGTTGTGTCACTCTTTATTGTTTAAAAATATGAAATATATAATCTGCTCTCCGTCTTATACTTGCTTTTGATTTATACATTCTGTGACGAGCATCTTTGCTTTGCCTTTTTGATTTAGTGCATAAGAACACTACTGTTGTAAGTGTACTTTGTCTCTTGTATGTTTAGAAGCAGCTTTCCACGGTGCTAATTTGAAAACCCCTTCGTATTGCTTGAAATTCAGTATCCACTGAAGGTAAATTATGGACGAAAAAGAAATTTGTGCACCTCCATGCTTCTTGTTTATCGGGTAGGTCCCAAAGTGTTCGCTTTTCATTTCAAATGTGGGAGATTTGGCAGCATAGTATTTTTGCG